TACTCAAGAGCACCATCATCATGCCCAAAAGACACCCACGTGCCCATTGACATAAGATGACTAAATAAAAAAATGAACACATTGAGTACCAAACCAGGATCCCTTGTAGCCAGCTGGTTCTGACATTCAGAGAAGTTTTTTGTTCTCCCAATTACCTCATGACTTGCTCAAACACTGCCATCCTCATCATCATCACCACCACCACTAGTATCACCATGAGCAGCATAATCACTACTATCATCAATACCATCATCATTATAACCTCTATCACCTACTTCATCATCATCTGCTCACCCTTACCACCACCACCACCACCATCACTTCCATCACCATTACCTCCATAGTCTTCAACACCACCTTACATCAACCACCATCATCAACACAACTATCACCGTAATCTCCATCACCATCATCATCCCCACCATCCACTCTATCACCATAACTACTATTACAACCGCCAAACAAAATAGTACCACCATCACTTAATCATCACTATGATCGCCATCATCACCACCACAGAGAACACCATTCCCATCATTCCCATCACCTCTGTCATCATCAGGACTAACATGACATCAACCACCATCACAATCACCTGCAGCACCACCTCCATCACCACGACTGCCATCACTATCTTCACCTTCATCATCACCATCACCATTGCCACAAGAGAAAGTTCCTTAGTTTTCATATAATACAGGAGACAGGCGAGCTGCCTTTTGGTGTTGGGGGGGGGGGAATTTAAATGTCTGTAGCATGTTGAGTGGGAGAATCCCATTTAAAATGATGCAAAGAATGTGGTAAACTTCCCTTTCGCTCTAAAGTAGTGGCTGAAAAATTGCATTTACAAGGACATTTGTGTTTAGTATGTCTCCCTCTCCATATAGAGTTGTCCATGGGCCTGGTTGCGATCTGGGATTAGGCTTGGACCTTGAGGAAATGCTATCAGGATCAAAACTGGAACATTCACTACGCTCTTGAAGGTACTTTGTGATATGATTAAGACTGAAAAGAGCAATAAAAATGTCATGTTCTTCGGAAGTATCAGCTGTACTCTTTTGGCCCTCATCCTGAAGAAGTTATGGGTTGCTCACAAAACACATTTTTAAGTGAGATTAAAAGTACTTTCAGATACAATTTTATCCAGTTTGACTTCTTAAAACTTATCTTGAAGACATTGAATAAACTGTGGTCTCAAACCATGTGACCTGCAATCATGTGCTTTTACCTGATCATAACTGCTGTGGTCCTTAGCATTGACTATACTATCTGGATGGGGAGACACTGTTTTGTGAGTCTCATTATAATTTTAATGATGGTAGTCACCTTGAAAGTTTATTTCTCCTCAATGACTAATACTATAAGGACGAAAGCTGTAAGAGTGACATCTTAGAAATCCCTAGGAGGGACTGAACACCCACAAGTTTAGTTGTACTTCGCAGTGTAGCACCAGCACTTGTCAGGTTCAGAGGCCCAGGGAAGTGGGGTAGGAGTGAAAACAGACCATTCCTTTATTGTGTAGCTTTTATATGTTGAACTGCTCAGTTTCAGCCCTCTTTCATATGTTTAGATACACTTTCTGCCATATTTCACACTCCCTGTGTGCAGAGCTTCGGAGCCTTGGAAAATGCCAGATTGCCACTGTCAGCTAGAGTTGCCAAGTCAAAGAGGCCCAACCAGCCCCAAAGTGCCGTTCTGGTTGGCTTTCCATCTGTGGGGAAACATGACAAAGTTGACGACTTCCCTGCTTGCACTTAGAATAGCCCTTTCTTCCACTGTCCTCCTGCAAAAGTCCCTTGTGGTCCATGGGCTCCAGTTAAATGCTGTAAGCTGCAAACAGCCCCACACCCAAGAAACAGAAGATCATCATTGTAGAGAACTGTGCTTCCTAAGCACACAGATTTGGAGTGGTTCCAACGTTCTTATATTTTTGAATGTGACATTCTAAAGTTGATTTTCAATATGCTCTGCCATAACCCCCAAAACACACACATACACACACACACACACACACACACACACACACACTTCTCTCCATACCCATATTTGCTGTAAGATTGTGTGAGACACATATTGAAATGTTGGCAATGATATATGTTGGGATGTAGTTACCAGCAACTGCACTCAGGAGCCAAATTCAGGAGTGAAATTGCCACTTCTAGTCCCTTATTTCTTATGGAAATGATGCCCTCCACCATGCACCTGCCATCTGTCCTCCAGGGAAGCTACATGGGTCACTGTGCACTCTGCACTTTGATTTATTATTACATTGCTGCTACAATGAGCATCATTTCTGCTTTGCTAGCAACCATACTATTATCCTTACCTGCAGTCAACAAACCTGCTCTGGACTGTTTTCAAGGTCATACCACAAAGGGTCAATTGTGATAGGCTTCCCTTGGAAGAGCTGTCACTTTCACTGCCAATTTTTGTGATGTTTTATAATCTTTCACAAAGTCTACAAATCAAGCAGGAATTACATAATCTGCTCAATGCTTTCCCAAGGAGTCACTATCCAGTACAAATTATGTCCCCACCCAACCCTCTAAAAAGCTAGGTTTCCTGCTCTGTTCCCATTCCTTGTGTCCTGGGTTGCTCACATGAGGCCTCTCCCTAGTGTTATTCGATATTTCTCCTTCCCTGCAGGCTAGGCGCTTCCTTCTGAATCATGGAGACCAACTCTCTGTAGGAAGCTATTGAGGCACAGGTGTGATGCTTGCTGGTTTGGGGTAGGTCCTGGGCCTTCATGAAAGGGGCAAGTGGAGGTGATGGTGGAACTGGAGATCCCAATCTCATACTGGAGCCTTTATCATCTCTTGACTATTGAGCATTTCCCACATGTGACACTGAATTGTCAGAAGACTGGTTGGCAGGAGTTTTGCCTCTGCTGAAATCCCATCATTTTTACACTGCCTGAGCAGAGGCAGACATTGCCTAAAATAGTGGCACTCGCCAACATAGCTGGGGACAGGAGTTCCCACAGTGAATGGGATAACTATCTTCGTAAAATGGACAGAGACACCATGTGCTGCATGAATTCTATATGGAGGCCTGGCAGAGCGGTATTCTTCTAAACTGGATGGAACTCACTGCCCAATCATGACTCAAATGCAGCCTGAAATAAGTAGAATGAGTTTCGCTAGGGGTCTCTGGCAGAAGAGTAGATAATAATAGGGACTGTATTTACCCAGTCTCTCCCAAACTCTTGTCACCTGGAGTCTCCTTAAACCCAGAAACTTTCCTTTCCCCTAACTGGAAAACTCTTAATTCATATGGCTCTAGATGTGCTGCAGAAACCTGAATGAGAGTGCCACCTACTGCCAGGAGAGATCACTGCAGGTTGAAATAGAAGACATCCTGGAAAAAGGGTTTATCATGCTTAGTCCTTGTTCTTCTCTGGGATCTTGTGGACCTGGCAGATACCATCCCACCATTGGCAGGGGACTTGTGCTGCAGTGTGACACCAACAGTAACTCTGTGGCAGCAGGATAGTTGGAAAGCTACTCACATTCCAGGCTTGGTTTCAAGTCAAGAACCTTGACTCCTTTGAAGCATCTGCAGGTTTGTGAACAGGGGTTCCATGAACATTTCCTGTGCTAGGCCCAATCCTCTTGACAGGGGTCTGGGATGGGGAAGGGCTTGGGAACTTTGGTTTAGTGGTAAAGCAGATCCTAGGATGAGGCACCACATTGTGTGTAGGTCTTGCGGTGGGTACAGATCCACATTCACCACATTAATATAAAATGAGTACCCAGAGGGACTTCCTAGTCTCTCTACCAGTCCCAGCTGAACAAGCACTCTCCTTCTCAGTCAAATACAACTAAAAATAAAAATGGCGGCAAAATCTGTAATAAATATCAAGTCACAAAAGCAAAACAGGTCAGACAATCAGCTTGCCTTAAAAAGGCCACAGAAAACTGGGTGCCAATGGCTCATGCCTCTAACCCTAGATACTCAAGGGGCTGAGATCTGAGGACCTCAGTTCCAATCCAGGCATGAAAGTCTGACTTATCTCAAAAAGCTGGAAGTAAAACTGTGGTTCGAGGGGTAGGATTCTAGTCTTGAGCCAAAAAAGCTCAGTAACAGTGCTCAGGTACTGAGTTCAAGCCCCAGAATGACACACAAAGGCAACTGAGAACCAAAGGATAGACCAGTGATACTTTATTTGGATATTTATTCACGTGTGGGAAGCCAATCCTCACACATGCCACCTGCACCCCTCACATGTCCACCCAGCCCCCGTGAGGGACACCACCATAAGAATAGGCCCATTGCCACCACCACCCCTCCACCCCGCAACACAGGTAGCAGCCCTAGAGCAAGCAGGCGATGCTCTGGCTGCCTTCATACACTGTTTCCTGCAGCAATAAGTTGCCCAACCTGCAACCTCCCCTTATATCACCTCACTGTGCTTGGCAGGCCCTCTTCCCTCGGGCCCTGTTTCTTGCTCTATAAAGTAAGGTTGCTAGTATATGTGTTATAGGGCAGAAGGGAGGGTGGAAGAACTAGGGTGGAGGTGTATTCTGTCGCTCTCTGATCCCAGTCAGGGACATAGCTAGAGGTGGAACAGAGTGAGGATAGCAAAGAGAAAGTGAGGCATGGCCCTATGGTTATTTGAGATATTCTTGTCCTAGCTGGGCTGGCTCTCTCAATCAGTAAGTCCAAAGGAGTTTCTATAAAGTGAGAAGACCATGAGGGTCCCCAACACCGGTCACCCTCATTTGTTCCTGCTAACACTGGCTCTTCTTAGTCCAAGGGCCTCCCCCAGGCTGGAGCCAAATGTATGTGAAAGGTGATTTTGTCACTAGCCTTCTAGCTGGGCTGCCAGGAGCCCCTCTTGCTGTTAAATCTACCCCCTCCTTGCTCCTAATGGGGAGGATTCCTGAACCTCTCCCAGGGAGGATACTCAAGATGAGATCAAGTTCTCTCAGGCCATATATCCCCTCCTGCAGCCCTGCCCTGATCAATAACACCCAGCAGGTTGAGGTCTTCCATTCACTCTATGGCTGGCCTGAGAGCTGGATGCGGCAGCAGATGGCGGTGACTATTATAAACTCCTTACTGGCCCTTCCTCTTTTGTCAGTGTTCTGGTGCTTCACCACACATGTGTTGTCCACAGGAAAAGCTCCCAGGGTTATTGAAGTCTCAGGATGGGCACTGCAGCTTGTCAGGGTCCATCCTGCGTCACAGCTCACGGTGACCTGCCAGAGTCCAGGGAAGACAAGTAAGGCCAGGTCCTGCATCCATGGTCAGGTCTCTAAGCCACCTGCTACACTGTCCCTCCCAGCAACCCTCAGTGGGGACCAAACTGTCAACACCTGGCTTGGTTCTACACCTCACACCCTCCAACGGGGCTATGTCCAACAATGCCCACCACTCCCTCAGGGTGCTTCACTCCAGCCTACCAGGACACTGGGGCCCAGACAGACATCTCAACAAACCAAAGCCCCTCCCACTTCCCACTTCCCTACAAGCCACACCTCCCACAGCCTTCCCCACCCAGTGATGGCAACTCCATCCTCCCAGCAGCTCCACAAGACCTTGCAACAGCCCTCCACTCCTTGTTGCAGCTCATGCCCACACCAGAGCCACCACCCTCAGGTCCCAAACTCCTCCTGCCATGGCCTCTAGAGGCTAGCTCTCAGACTCCAAGAGGCCAAGTGTGACCTGCCCTCCCTTCAGAGATCTTCCTTCTTCCTCCAACCTTCAATGGTTGCTCAGGCATTCCAGCCCTGAACAACTCCCAGTAGGTTTGTGAAATGCAGAAGTGATGCTTTGGTTTTTTTTGTTTGTTTGTTTTTTGTTGTGCATGCACACCAATCCTGGCATTTAAACTCCAGAGCTGAACCCAGCTCCAGATCTGGCTTTTTTGGGGGCAGTTAATTAAGGGCATAAGTTTCATAATCTCCCTTGTCCAGGCTGGCTTTCAACCCCAATCCTCAGATCTCAGTCTCCAGAATAGTTATGAGTACAGGTGCTTAAAAAAAAAAAAACAAGCAGTACTGGGGTTTCTAACTCATGAGTGCCAAGCAGGTTTTCTACCACTTTAGTCATCACTTTGGCTGCTTTCGCTTTAATTATATTTCAGATAGAATCTTTTTTTTTATTTTTTATTTAATTTTTTTTTTTTGCCCAGGTGGGCCTCAAACTGAACTCCTATTTGTTCCTTCTCAGGAGCAGGTGAAACAGGCACAGCATTGTATTACTGTGTCCAGACTCAGCAATTCATTTCTTTATGCCATATTTATTTGTGCTATCCTTAAAGGGGGACAGGGCATTGGAGAGCAAACCTTACTAATCTGGCCAGAAACAAAAGCAAGCCCAGCACACTCACACTCACACTCATACAAATTCATGCGCAAGCACATGCACACACACACACACACACACACACACACACACACACACACACACACACTGCACATGACAGCACAGGTGCTCAGGTCCTCCCCTGGGCAATGCAGGCCCCAGCCATCTCCACTCCCTCCCCCCCCCACAACCCAACCCTTCACCTTCTCCAAGGGACTGAAACGCCTGTACTTCTTCGTTGTACACTGCAGGCCCGGAGCACGGCAGCAGGAAGCATGAACACTGGCCTTCTTGTGCCCCAGGCACTTTCTGGGCTGATAAACTTGCTGCCTTGAAGAATGCTTGGAGACACCAGGGTTACGTATCCCCCAATGGGAGCTGCATCCTAGGGCAGAAGAGGGACAGCTCACACACTGAATGTGGAAGACTATCGTGGTTCTCTTTCACACCCCTTTCTCTATAAGGTTTAAAGCCAAGGAAACCCAGGAGCAGCTCTGAGGGGAAGAGACATTGGCCTGAGCAGGAGGACTTCCAGCATAGCTCTGCTGGTGATCTGACTTGTAGAACTTTGGGATAGAAGCTCAAGCGCTCTGATCCATAGTTTCCATGATCTCCCCATGGAGATCATGGAGCATGGTTCCCAGGCCTGCGATGATCAACCACTGCTTACCCAAACCCCTCCCACCTCAAGTCCTTTCCTCATGCATCATCACCAAGAGCAGTCCGGCATAAGCTTGGGTCTGTGGGCTAGGGAATCAGGTGCACCAGGCTGTAAAATTGTGGGAACTTTGCTGAACTTCATCAAGTCTCAGTTTCCCTATTTGTAAAACAGCTAGAGCAGTAGCAGCAACTCACAGAGATACTGCTTAGCTAAAGCAGAAACATGCATGGGAAGTCCCAGTACTGCCCATGCAGGACCTAGGATCTGGTAGGTAACCAGGACCAGAGCCCTTCTCCCAGCTCTGCGTCTTTAGGAAAGACACTCGGCAACTTGTCCTGCATATGGGACTTAGCATGCGCTACACAGTGAGTGTCTGTGGCTCTGCCAGCTTTGCCACAGACCAGGCTTCCTGCCAGGCCAGCAGCCACATAGAGCTCTTGTCCCAGACAAGGCTCTAGCCACTGGGCTCATCTGACTCCTGCTAATCCAGCCAAATTCTAACCCCACCTAACCCTTACTATTCCAGAACTTCAGACTCCCCAGTACTTACCTAACCAAGGTCAGCTCCTGACCTAGTATTTCAAGATAATTCCCACTGTCCCCTAAACCTCCCCTCTGGCACTAAGCTCCTTCTAAACATGGCTCCAGCCCAAGAAAAACAGTCCCTACCTCCTATATGCAGCCCTCACCCATGACTTCCAGCCACTTTCCTGGGCAGGTTTGTTATACAAAGTTCCTAGCCCAGGGCTGGTAAGGTGGCTCAGTGGTAGAGGGCTTGCCTTGCATGCCTGAGGTCCTGGGTTCCATTCCTCAGCACCACAGAAGCAGGAAAAAAAAGCAAAAACTGGTGCTGTGGCTCAAGTGATAGAGTGCTAGCCTTGAGCTGAAGAGCTAAGAGATAGCGCCCAGGCCCAGAGTTCAGGCCGCACACCTGGACTCCCTACCCCCAAAAAGAAAGTCCCTAGCCCAGAGAAAGGACTTCAGAGTGATGGTTGGTGACAGTGGCCACCAGAATGCAACTGTCCAGGATTAGAGCTGAGCATTCACAATGAGTGAAAACTAAGGCACAGGGCTGAGAAGGAACTTGCTAGTTACTGATTGGATCAACCTGAGCTGTGCCCCACTCTGACAGGCCTGAACTAGGGCAGCCTACCCACACAGAGGGTAAACAGCTCCCAGTGCCCAAGCCAGAGGTCATTTGTCACCCTTCTAATCACCACTACAGAGGCAGGAGAGGAAGAGAGAGGTGAAGCCACTTGTCCAAGGCCACATAGCATGCAAGTTGCAGATCCTGTTTGGCTGTGGGTCCTGAGGCTCCCATATCATCTGCTCAAACTCATAGGGACCAAGTGTATGGGACATGTCTCCTGAGCAGCAGGAGGTAGGTCATCTTCCTCACCCTGGCGGGACCAGCCCCTACCTGTGAGGACTTGGTCAGGATCCCGGCAGTGGGTGTAGGTCTTCAGCCACACCAAGGCTGGAGGAGCTGTGTAGACTCTGCAGTTGGCTCGGGGGAGCAGGCAGCATCTGGCCACCGCAGAAACCTGGCTATTTCCAAATGCCAGGCAAACGCGTCTCTTTCCTAGGATCTGAGAGTCCAAGAGAGAAATGGGAACTTGCTGTGAAGAGGTTTAGGGACTGGGGAACCTGGTCTGAGAAGAACCCCGTCTGCAAGTTCTGGCTTCTGAATCCTCAGCACTGCTTGGTCCCATGCAGTCTGTCCTGCCATGTGCAGCACAGATGAATCTTCCCAACACTGACAATGCCTTGTAACTGGAGATAAGGGTACCTGATACCGCAGCACAGGGCCATGGGCTCCCTGACCCATTGAACATCTCCTAAGAAACCTCCCTAACATTGATTTCCGCACAGAAATGCACATCTACCATATCCTGGAGCACTCTTCCCCTCAGAGGGCCACCCAGGGTATGGGAACCTCATCAGCTGCTTCTGCACCTTTGAAATTCTCAACTCACAGAGCCTCTGCCATCCCAACCTGAGGGTCATGACTGTGGATTCTCTTGGTTGGCAGGGAGAAGGAAGGGGTGTGTCAGTACTGGGACTTGAACTCAGGGCCTAGGTGCTGCCCCTCAGCTTTATCATTCAAGCCTGGCACTCTACCAGCAGAGCTGCAACTCCCCTTCACACTTCATTGGAAATAAGAACCACATGACATTTCCTGACTGGGCTGGCTTTTGAACCACGATCCTCAGATCTAAGCCTCCTGAGTCATTAGAACAACAGGCATGAGACAAAAACACCCAGCATAGAGATGGCTTTAGGCAAGGCAGAGAGCCGAAGCCACCGCTGTCCTTTCCCTCCTGTGCCCATGAGGGGGCTGTCTGTCCTGAGTCCCCCAGGAGCACCTGGCCCTGCCCAGGCCTTTGAAGTTGAAATAGGGATTAGAATCCAGAGGACAGAGGACTGGGCACACAGAGTGTGCAGCTCACCCTCACACGCTCGCCCAGCCGCTTCCGACTCTGGGAGATACTGGAGCAGCCCAGCAGCTCCTCCTCCGGGTCACACTCAGCCACTGCACGGCCTGCCAGAGTGATGTTCCAGGGTGCTGACCACACAGTCCTGCAGAACAGCTGTTCACCTACAACAAGGTCATGAGTAATGAGGCTCTGGGGGCACAGTACACCCAGAGAATCCAGAGAAAGTTTCAGTCTTACATAAGGGAGAGGAGTTTCCATATCACATGAAACTTTTAGTTAAAACTTCAGTGTTGAAATAATTACCCTGAGCCTGGAGTCCTATCTGAGGACAGTCCTTCTGTAGACCAGGTAGGGGACTGTCACCTCCACATGGGCCTCTCACACCCAGGCTGGCTTCTGCCTACCCACCTGCCATGCTCACCTGTTTCCTGGGTGCGGGGGGGCAGTGCAGCCAACAGGTTGGGGGTCTTGAATCGCTCCTCCTCGGGGAACCAGGTGTCATTGATAGCATTTCTGATAGAGTAATGGATCAGCCTCTGCCTCAGCTCAGCCACAGTGAGGTTTGGCTGGGCAGTGAGCAACAGGGCTGCAATGCCTGATGGAGGAAGGAAAAAAGAAGACAAGGTGATCGCCTGGCCTTCCATCCTAGCTGGGAACTCCTTTTAGGACACAAATGCACACATATACACACATCATGTGCTCTTCCCAAAATGAAGCCACCTGCAATCCCTTGCATAGTGAAAGATAGAAAGTAACACATCTTGTTCTACCTCCAAGCCTTGGTATTGGCCATTGTGTTCACCAAGTGAACACCAACTTATACCCCAGTGATGCAAAATGGCACTATCACTATCACGTCTGCCCATTTGGTCCTCTTGCTCATAGCCAGACATATGGAGGATCTGGCCAAAGGGGCCGTTGGAATCCTGGTGGCCCAGGCAGTGGCATGGTGACTCACCAGCCACATGGGCAGCCGCCTGCGAAGTTCCACTCTGCGTTACATAGCAAACATTACAGTCTTTGGAGGCACTGACAATGTTCTTCCCAGGAGCAAAGATGTCCACACAGGATCCATAATTGGTCCCTAGAGGACCCTGGATGAGTGGCTGGATCTGAGAATCGACAGCTCCAACAGTGATGACCTGGAATGTGGCAAAGAGTTGAGGGAAAGGCTGCATGAGGCAGACTAATCAACTCCTATACTTCCTGTTTGACTCCCATGTAAGTGTCTTCTCCAGAGGAAAATCTGGCTCCTGGGCACAGCTGATACCCTAGCCTGCCCCAGGGCTTCTACAGGATGCAGGCACTACTCTTGATGCCCTGTAGAGATTGTACTTAATGGGAGAAAAACACTAAATTGACAATGTTGTTATCAAGAAGCCAGAGTGCTGTGAGGCAACCCACAGTGAGCCAGGCTGGATGCAGGCAGTTGTAAGTTCAGCATCTCTGGAAAAACCCCCAGAGCTATAGTCTGAAGGTTTGTGCAGGGCAAGGAGGGAGAGGGGAAGGGGAGGGCAGCACTGCCCATTTGCGTCTGTACCTTCCCTTCCTTCCAGGGCCCAGAAGGCCTGGAGATGGGACACCTGTCCTCCCCCTGATACTGCCAGGCCCACACAAGCCCCACACAAAGCAGTGGCTCTGCAAATGTCAATCAGGAGGAGAGGGATGGCACAGAGGGAGGATGTGATGGAGGGGGTAATGTGGGAGGGCCTTTGAAGGTGATGCAGGGCTAGCCAAACACCTATCACACTAGGGTTTGGGGATGCTGGCCCTCTGACAACCTGCAAGGCAGGACATGAGCAGGAAGCCCTGCTAGCACCTACCTCAGGAGACGATGCTGGAGAGTAGGAACAGGCATTGCTCTGAAAGTTGCCCGCAGCGGCCACCAGCACTGCTCCAGCCCTTGCCAGGAGCTTGCAGGCATTGTTGATGCTCTTACTGTACCCACTCACCAGGGGCAGCAGCACTACCATGCGCTTGGAGGGATTGGAGACCAGCTGTTTCCAAATAAACTCCAAGCCTGAGAGAACATAGATGACTGAGAACAAGATGAATGCCTGGAAAGGGGCATGTTGCCTTCCCCAGCTCCTTCCCTCCAAATCAACAGTGATGTTCATTATTGAACCCAACATAAGTCAAAGCATCTGGCCAAAGGAGCTGCTGGGGTCTGCCACTCACCCATGAGGATGCCGCTGACCGTGCCCTTCCCTTGGCAGTTGAGCACACGCAGGCTGTGTATCTTGATGTCCTTGGCCACGCCAACATTCTGGCCATTGACCAGAGCTGCCAGGTGAGTACCATGGCCTTCACAATTGCCCTCCTGCTCCACTAACACAAGGACCAGATGAGAAAGCCACCCGCCCCATGATTTCCCAAGATCCCGGATGGACTGGCAATGCCTGCCCTCCCTTGCCTACAGCTGAGGACTGGGGATGGACGGTGATGGCTATGGAGGGTGACCATGGTGCTCCAGGTCTGGTGGTCCTCATCTTCCTCTGGGGTGGGCTGGCGAAGGATGGCTCACCTGTATCCTGGATGCACTGGTGCTCTGCCACTCCTCCTCAGGCACTCTCTCAAAGTTAGAGTTGATGATCCTGTCCTTAATTTCCATGTGATTAGGCTGGATGCTAGTGCCCAAGAGATACACCTCCACGGGGTTGTCCTTGTCTTCCCGCAGTGACATTTGTGCAAGAAGAGAAAAGGGAGAACCAAGAGCGTATGTTATATGTGGGTCACATGTATCAATGGTGGCATGCTCTGCTTCTCAATTGTGCAGTCTTTCATCTAAAAATCCTCCCAAGCCACTCCTAGTGGGTCTATATTACTGACGGGGCCAGTGAGACTTAGAGACAGGGAGCTGTCCTAAGCCATGAAGATGGCCAAGGAGAGAGAGTCAGTACACTCCCCAATAGCATGCTGCCTGTTACTGGGTCTTGTTATCAACTCAAATGGCCTAGCTCTACCTTGAGCTCTGTCATTGCCTGGGAGCAGCCCAGGAGGCCTCAGGGACCTGCTCCTCCTACTGGCTCTCTTGAGGCAGAATTACAGCAGCACACTTTCTATTGTTGCCGAAGCAGAACTGCAGTTCTGGAAATCATAAATTCAAGATCGAGAGATCAGTCATGCGGCACTCCTCCTGAAGATTCTGGATAAGAAGCTTCACTCGCCTTGTGCACCTCCTTCTGGTGGCTGCTGGCATTTCTTGGCTTGTGGCTTCCTCACCCCAAGTTCTGCCTATCTCCTCCTCTTGCCTTTCTTTTACAAGGTTTGGGTTTGAGGATAACGAACAGCTGTGCCTTGTGGGCTCTATGAGTAAAGGGACAGGGCAGGGCCTGCCCAGCCTTCTTTATCCCCATCCATACGGGACCTGCTTTACCCTGTCCCAGTCCAACAGCTCCTAAAGGGTCTCCTCCAGCAAGCCCTTGAGAAGATTCTAGAAGGGGCTCCTTAGCCCTGTCTCCATTCCTCCAGGAAGGGACAAGGACATCATGGGCATCACCAGGGAGCAGGAAATGGACTGTGTCTACTCCAAACCTTCAGGAGAGCTAGTCACTAGTACCATAGAAAAGACACACCATGTCCTTTTAGACCTATCTATCTGGAGGCTAGAGGTGTGACTTAAGTCGTAACCTAGCAAATGTGAGGTCCTGGATTCAAATGACAGCACCACCACCAGACCTTATCTGAAAAAGAGGTCTTTCTAGGTGATCTCATGCAGGATGACCAAGTAGCACTAAATCTAGTGCAGAGTGGCCTCACACAAGAATGAAGAGGAAGGCTGGGCACCGTGTCTCACTTCTGTAATCCCTGCTATTTGTGAGTCAGAGAATGGATAGATCAAAGCCTGCCCAGGCAAAAAGTTCACAAGACCACATCGCAACCAAAGCTAGGTGCAGTAGCACAAGCTTGTCATCCCAGCTACTCAGTAACCATAACAAGGAGGATTGTGGTCCAGGTTCTGGCATATATATGAGAAGTTATCTAACCAGTAACTAATGTATACATGTCTTGAGTGGTAGAGAACCTGCCTAGCAAGCATGAGGCCCTGAGTGCAAAGTCCAAGACTCTAAATGAGAAACAGAACATATCTTGCTACTCAGAAAGGAGAGATGTAGAGCATTAATGGTTCCAAGCCAACCTAGGCAGCAAAGTCCTCTAGATTCCATCTCCAAATTACTAGTAAAACGCCAGGCTAGAGATCTGGCTCAAGTGGCAGTGTGCCAGGGTGAACAAGTAAGCTGAGCACATGGGTAGCCCTGAGTTCAAGCCCCATACCACTCATCAAATAAATAGCATAAGCCAATGAAGAGAAAGAGAAACAGAAATAAAGAATGGTGAGAGGAGAAAGCAAGAAACCACACAAAGGTGGGAAGCTGGGGCAGAGCAAAATGACAGCCCGCCAACATCACCCACCTTCCAGTCCTGAAGACACTGCCTCTGCTTCCCCTTAGCCTCTAAACAGTGGGGAGGACAAGGCTGATCACGGCCTGTTCACAGCTAAGGGAAAGGCCTAGAAAGGGAGGTGGCTCCTCAGACCCTGAGATCCGTGGATAAGGAGAAGGCGTTGGGCTCACCCCCAGACCTGAGGCCCAGCACCAAACCAAACCCAGATCTGCACAGGCTCGTCCATCACTACAGGGTCCAGCCAGAACCTCCAATCCTCTCCCAAGCAGGTGCCCTTACTGCCTACCCCAGATCAGGGTCACTGAGACACCCCCGTCCCCCACACACTGCCATTTTCCTGGCCCTCTCCTGAGAGGCCTGGAGGCCTGGAGACAAAGACCTAGTTGAGGGAAGCTCTGGAGCTCTGGTCTAGTTTTGAGGACTGAGAGTTATATAGCCCAGAGACTGAGTCACAGTCAAGTTCAGTTTCCTCTTAAGGCAAGTATGGCCTGCTGGAGAAGAGGAGGAAAAGAAGATGGTTATTCAGGCACTTGTGGCTCAAGCTTGGAATACTAGCTACTCAGGAAGCTGGGATCTGAGGGTGGCTGTTCAAAATCCAGCCTGGGCAGGAAACTGTGAGGTTCTTATCTCTAATTAATCATCCAAAAGCTGGAAGTAGAGCTTTGACTCAAGTGGTAGATCACTGTCTTTTAGCAGAAAAAACTAAGGGAGGGTACCAAGGCCCTGAATTAAAGGCCCCAAATTTGAAAAAAAAAAAAATAGAAACGTGGACCTTAGGCAAATGTCCCGGTATTGTGCACAGAACAGCAGGAGGGGGCACAGTCCAAGTGGGGTTAGGAGAGAACAGAGAGAAGATGAGTGAGGTGAGGTCCCAGGACAGAGAGGAGAGGTGGGCCATGGCAGCTGTGGTCTTACTGCTGTGGTTGAAGCTATGAAACTGGTTCCACTCCGGAGAAATCCACTGCATATTCCACATGGTGCTCCGAATCCGAATCCACTGAGGCCTCCACAGGAGGCTCTGTGCAAATGCAAAGGAATCCTCCTCGATGAACTTCGCCTGCTTCAGTCTCAGGACCTGCGGATGCCAAGGACACAGGATCTCAATTTCATGAGTCATTTAGCCAGCAGCACCCAGCACTTGGTGCATCTGATCACTCCAGTGCCCAAAGTATCTGAAAGGTCCCCTCCATGGACCAGAAGACAAAGGGTCCTCACTCCTCTAGTAGGCTGGGGAGTGGGGGGAACTGGGACCAGTGACACCAAAACTGGTAGCTGAGCCCACATGAGTGGCAGGAGGGATTCAGCTTCCACATCTCATCTGGGAGCCAGGCATTGCCAGTTCTAGGCAGGCTGGACAATGGAGGAAGTCCTTGGGTCTGGATTCCATGTCCATATCAGGCCATCCTGTGAGTCCACTCTTTTTCCACATCTTTCCGTCTTCAGAGCATAGTGCTATGAACCCTGGTGGCGGCATCTGGGTGCTGAGCCAATGGGGCAGGAGAAGGGACCAGCAGGAATTGAGGGCACAGTGTGTGTGCTCAGACCCATCCCTGCCCTGGAGCATACATCACACGTGCATCATCCTGAGCCAACCTGACCCTTCTCTCACCTCAGCTGTGCACCCAGGCTGCAATGCACCAACCCAAGGACACTGGCCAGCTGCACCAGAAGCTGGGAACCCAGCTCCCCCGTGTACACGGAGATCCCTCCTCCCTCAAATGAGGGTGAATAGACAAAGTACCATAGGGGAATTGGCCAGGCTAACAAGGGAGCTGCCTGAGGAGGCTGGCATCACTAGTATCGTTGAGCTACAGACCCTCAATACTCAGTAAGTGTCTGCTGTCCCCTGAGTGTGCCAACCAAGGGATGCACACAGGCCTAGGCACATGCATGCCTGAGCTGGGGCTCACCAGGTTCTGCAGGCCCAACTTGTCGGACTTCATCAGGATGCCAGGAAAGAGGCCTTTGAAGATGTGTAGCACTTCGAACATGAGGCCCTGGCTGGCAGCCTGGCTCTGCAGCCGTTGGACAATTATTTCCATCTGCTTCTTTTGGGATTCTTTGAACACTACCAGGAAGGTGTTGGGCATCTTCCAGGCACTCTAGACCCAAGGGAGGAAAAGGAGCATGAGGACATCAAAAGAAAGACCCCTTCCCTGTGTACAAATCAACCTAGAGCCGAAGAGACCCAGAACATAGAGAGACTACTGATACCAGCTAACTCAGTGAGGCTTAAACCACTCCACAACACACACAAAGCCACACTGACATCACCCAGAACAAATCCACACACATCCAAACATGGCGTCCATCCCCAAAGGGAACTGTGGGTGACCCTCAGCACTCATGTGAGTGCACATTGAGCCGGCTCCACACTGGCCATTCTCAGATCCTGTCTTGAGACTCAGCTGTGAACTGCCAGGAGTCCGTAGAGCACTGGCCATCCTAACTCCCCACTTTGGTGCCTTCAGTCCCAGGACCATACCAAGCCAGTGGGCAAATGAGCAAATGCTCTCAGGGATTTCACTCCAGACCTTCCCTTACACTGAAGCTAAAGAAGAAATGGCATGCACATGGCTCCTCACCCCCCACCTGCCTGCACCTCAGAGCCCCGGTATATGATGGTTGTGGGCCAGCCGTGGATCTCCCAAGGACGGGCGAGCTCCGGCCCCTCTCTGGGTCTGCCCAGCAGCTCTTGGGCTCCAGACTCATCCCACTCCTTTTGAGCTTCGGCCTTCACGGGGCTCAGCAGCAGCAGCAGCAAGGGCAGCAGGGGCCACTGTGGCCACCCACAGCCATGGGTGCCCATGGGGCAGGAAGAGAGATTTGCACCCTGGTGCTGACACCCAGAACCAGGACCAGCCAGGAACAAGCACAGAGCCAGGCAGGACAGCTGGGCTGTCTGGCTCACTAAGTAGCAGCTGCCTGAAGCCAGGTGCCTCCAAGTATCAGGAAACCTAGGGTGCAGAGTGTTGAACACCTGGAACCCGGGTCAATCCCAGCTGATTATATACTAATAGAGCCCACCCCCTCCACACAACCCCACAGGCAAACAGGAGGGAGTCTACATGTCTGAGTTCAGCAGTTCTGACATGGGATGACCAGCGGTCAGGGAAGCTCCCCCTCTTTCCGTGTTCATTGGCAGGTTTGTCAGAACTTATCTTCTCTTCTGAAGCATCTAGCCCTGCCTGAGGGGCACACTGAACTGGGGTGATCTCCGTGTTTCACAGATAGAGAAATTGAGGACCAGAAATATCTTATCAACATCACGAGGCTAGA